ATTATTTTAAAAACCATGGTGGAAGAATAATTAATTTCACATAATCCATGTATTAATATTTATTAACTAATTTATTAAATTATTAATATGTCCATATATTTTATAAATATTAAATACATATATTATTTAATAATATATTCTAATATATTTAAATATAAGTATTGTCAATATATTTTAATAAATATTAAATACATACCGTCTAATGAAAGCAGGCACAGGGTTACTGTACACACTCTACACTTGTATTCCCTTGAAGTGGCTATAAAGTCTGCAGGTTGTTGTAAATCCTGGCAGATAAATATTCCCAACTGCTTTCAGATGCACCGTGTCCAAAACATCAGAGGATGAATATCCTGTCAAAACATGCCTGCTTCAAAATTTCAGCAAATCAAAATAAGGAGAAAGAAATTTCATTGATATTTACACACATGATATGGAACGCTATGAAAAACATTGATGATGTTAAAAATAATAGTTTGAAATGACATTTACAAATATGATTTAATTTATGCGTATAATTAAATTTAACTGTCTTTTTATGGTGGAAGAACAATTCAGTTTTCAGAATGAATTTATTCAGCATGTCATATATATTAAATAAATACATTTAAATACATAAATATATATATATATATTTAAATTTTAATACATTTTAAATGTAAATAAAACAAGTAATATTATATATATTAAAAACGTATTTATTTTAAATATAAAAATATTTAGAATATTTTAAATAAAAATACAACATATTGACTTTTTTTTAATAGAAGAAATTATCATCAAGTTTTTAGAAAGGTTTTGATGAATTTTTCATCACTTGAAGTGGCTATAAAATCCAGATTTGATCAATCCTTACACTTAAATATATTAAACTGTCAACTTCTCTCTTAACATAAAAAATGTCAATAAAATGTTATAGAAATATATTCCTACATATATGAATAAATTAATCTCCTGAAACCTGTCGAAACAGGTTATATTTCACTATTATATTATATTATATTATGACAAATGATATAATATAAATTTGTGATAATTAATTATATACATTTGTAGATAAAAAAAAAAACAGACTGTTAGGATTCTACATATTGCAAAAAAAAAACATAAATAAATAATAATAAATTATTGTAATTGTATATTAGTTATATACCTTCACTGTAAAATATGATTGTGATTTTAACAGTAAAAGACTGTAAAAAGGCTACAATAAAAACCTGTTAATTGGTTATCAGTAAGTTTCCATACTATATACAGTGAATAACTGTAATTGCATTTAATGTAATTTTACAGTAAAATACCGTTAAAATTACGGTTTTTGGAGGTGAAAAAGAAAGTCATTGTATAATTTACAGTGAAAAACTGTAAATTGACACTCCCAGAATGCCCTGCATGACACTTAATATTTGATGTTTTTTTCGTTGAAATAACATGTTTCTTCTTAGTTTTTTCTTATCAGTTGTGTACATTAGTGTTTTATCTTACATCTAATGTTGTTAAATGAATGTTTATTGCATTATTTCAGTATCATGTGTGTCACCATGATGGTGTTTAGTGTTTGTGTGAATGACACTGTGCACCTTCTATGTATATATATATATATATATATATATATATTAGTATTTTCCTTCTCAGCTTTTGGAAGAGCTGATTGTGATGAGCTTTGATTCATCATATGACTTTCTCATCACCACCTGTTTTTGGTGGTTATCAGCATTTCAATGGTTTAAAACAGATATTAGTACTTCAATATGCTGGTTTATTAACATTACATCAGTTAATGAAATAAGTTGTTTTTATTGTGAATTTAAGCTAAGTCTGTAAAACCTAAAATGCTTCTACCATATTTTTAACGGTGAAGTTCTGGCAACCACAGCTGCCGGTATTTTACCGTAAATGTCACAGATTTTTTTTTTTTACAGTGTTGGTAGCATTTAATGTGCTATGCTAATTTATGCTAATTTATGCTTGCTTGCATATTCATTTATTTATTAATACTGTTTAAAAGTAAGTTTTCATTGTAATTCAATAATGAGAATTTAGGGTGAAAATGTGCTTAATTATTAATGTTGCAATACAAAAAAATCGTAATGGTCATGAACATATGCTTGATTTTCTTTATGCAAAATACTATTATTTTTTACTCATTTTGATGTTGGGGATTAAATGGGCCGTGTTTTGTGAGATTTACACACATAATCTCCATGCATGTATGTAGGAGTGTGTTTGTTTGTCATTGCTCATCCACGCGTGTTTAAATACCTGCATTACTAACATCCATAAACTATCTGCTGTAGTTTGGTGTGTTATCAGGATGAATGTCAAACTCATTCCGCCTACATTAGCCATAAACCATACATAATTTAATGCACTAACTGCATTTACGCAAATTAAAGGCGTAACGCATGCTGTTGGAAATTTGTCTTAATTTGACATGACAGGTTTAATGGCTGTCAAAGTATGTGTGAAAGTCACTGGTTCATGAAGGCATGTATGATCAATGTGACGGGTGACTCTGACGGCTCCTCAGTTAAGTTTGGGCAGATGCATTCATAGTGTGAGTAACAAAACGCACATCAAGCATGTGCTGTGATACATACTGCACTAGTGCAGCAAACACCATCACTATTTTTTTTTGTTTCATGATTAAAAATAATAATACCTGTAACTGTGTAATGCACCAATGAATCAGTACGAGCTGTGTTATGTGCATGTGCAAACTGTCTATGGTTTTTGTTGAAAAAGTGTCACAATCATAATACAATGTCCCAATATAAGCATTATAATGCATGTAATATAATGCATTTATGTCATTTATACAGAATAAATGTATACAATACATCATAATATATATTAAATGGATTTAATACTAAATACATATACTATTAAATACTACTGTTAAATAATATTAAATAATATCTTCAAGTATTATGCATTGTACATTATTATACATTTAATTGTGCATTACAAAAATACATAATTATATTTTAAATATAATTTTTAAATAATAAATACCTAATAATTACAAAATATTGATCAAAATAAATACATATATTATTAAACATATATTAAAAATATGTACTTATATATTTTAAAATAAAAATATTTCAATGTAAAATATTTACATTTAATTTTATTTTTTGTAATATATATATTTTTTTTATATATTTACAAAATAAAATGTATATTATTAAGTTCACATAATATAAAATAACACTTAATTAAAATATTTTTTTGTATTTTAAAAATAACAATTATTTGTATTCAAAATATTGACAGTAAAATACAAATATTTGCTGCAAAAAATATTGCACTAGTGTAGCAAAAAACATCACTAAGCTTTTTTATTTCATGATTTTAAAAACTGGTATTTTTTACACCTATCACTGTGTGAACTGTGCATGAACTGTACCATGTGCAAATCATCTATGGTTTTTCTTACAAAATCTGCAGTGTCAAATGAATTCAGATGCACATTCTTCCTGTTTTCCTCTGCAGCCTCTAAAGAAAAACAGGCTTAAATTGATCTGAAAGGTGGCAGAGATAAAGCTGCGAGTGCAACATGATCCGCAAACACCTGACCACATGGACTTCAACCAAACACACACAGCAGCCGCCGCTGAGCGAAGTCCAAGGAATCCGACGAACGCTTCAGTTTTGGGTTATTACACTGGCGAATCTTTAAAGCTCTACAGAGGTCAGACAACATTGATGATTAACCAAAGTGACATGCAGAAGATGATAAACTCAGCATACTCTTAAAAAGAACGGTTATTTATTTGCACCGATGGTTCCATGAAGAACCTTTTCATTCCACAGAGGGTTCTGTAGATTCTAAATATGTTGTAAAAACAGTTCTTTTTTAGAACTGTTCACTCAAAGGTTCTTTTTTGGAACCCAAAATGGATCTTCTATGGAAAACCCGCTGTTTTTAAAATAACAGCGTAGGTGAACAGAAACAGATCGGATGCTTTCTGTGTCATTTCGAAGCTCGGGTCGGTACCTGCTCTGCTGGGACTCTGGAGGCAGTTCTGGCCCACGATGCCGGAGTGAACGGACGCGGCCGTCCGGTTACTGAGATCCACCACCGAAGGCGTGGGCGGGGCGGAGGGCAGCTGCTGCTGCTGCAGGGGCTGCTGGGAAGGCCGGCTCTGCTTGCTCCCAGGGTTGGCGGGAATATTGTTCTCCAACAGAAACTCCTCTAAATCCATGTACTCCAGCTGGAAGTTGTCGCCGTCGTATGACAGGGTCTTGTCCCACAGTGTCGGGCCCAAGAAGGCGGACTGAGGAGTGTTGAGAGCAGCTCCATCCTCTTCCAAATTCTTCTCTTTCTCTTTCCCAAACCCTGGAGGAACAAGATATTGTCACTGTCCAGCTAAAAAAATTACAATTTTGTCATCGTTTATGCATATTTGTGTTGTGTTGCATGCCGATTTTAAAGAAAACATTACAGTATTCAAGTCATTTTTCACTCTCATTTCACTAGAAATGTGCTTAATTGACATATTAAAAATATTCCTTATTTTCTTTATGCAAAATATTATTTATTACACCTTTGTGTTGTCCCAAACCTGCATTTATGCTGGTATGTGCAGAACAGAAAAAATAAATAAATAAAATAAAATAAATAAATAAATAATATACATATATATATATATTTTTTTTATTATTTATTTATTTTTACTGTAATAAAGTAATACGACTTTTGGGTTAAAATGTGCTTAATTGTCATAATGTTGCAATGCAAACACCCTAATGAAAATATTTATTTATTTTCTTAATACAAAATGTTGTTATATATTACACATTTGTGTTGCTCCAAAACTTTATTTAATTTATGCTGATTTGAATAAATAAATGACTTTATTAAAGTAATGTTACACTGTAATGCGAATAATGAGAATTTGGGGGTAAAAATGGGCTTAATTTTCTCAATTTAACAATAAAAAAAAAATCTTAATAAAATATGCTTTTTATGTAAAATATTATCTTTATTATTTATTACACATTTGTGTTGTCCCAAACCAACATTTCATTTATGCAGATTTTATTAACAAAAAAGTTATGCAGTAATGATTATTTAGGGTGAAAATATACATTTCACAATGCAAAAAATCTTTATGAAAATATGCTTTTGATGCAAAATATTTTATTAATTTATTTTTTTCCCAAAACGGTTTGACTTTAATTTTTCTGTTAAACACTAAAGAAGGAATTTTGAGCTTCATTCAGGCACTTATTTTTCATATAACAAAAGTTGCAGCTCAAGTTCCATAAACAAGCACCACAGAAGTATCCAAATTTGATTCAATTTAAATAATTTTACGCAGCTTTTTACAACACGCACTGTTCCAACGCATCTTAAAAGTGGCTCAACACATTATTGCTCTCTATTCAAGGTCTTCTGAAGTCATACAACAGCGCAGTCTTTTTACCACCTGTTACTTTTATGGTGCTTCTTGTGATTTTGGTGCTCAGCCCTGGAAAAGAATGGCTATTTCTCAGCACTTCTCCAGAGAAGAAAGAAAGTACAGTTTTAGAAAGAATGCCGTGAGAGTGAAGAAACCGGGTGAACCGATCCAAAAATGCAACCAAATAAACATATTTATTTTGCACACTGAAAAAAACAGCATGCATATGTTATAGCTTGCCAATGCACTACCTGCTTATGTGCATCCAAAGATAAAACAGCCTTTTATTTATACTATAAACGTGTGATGAGGATTGAGGTACTGTAGCACAAAAACAATCAGAGCCTCTCAGTGGCGCCCTCTATAGGGAACTATAAGTACAAATCATCTCCATTGCGTGCGAACTTCATCTATCCAAATAAAGTCAGTATCGGTTGAGTAGACTCTGCTTATTCTTTCTCTTTGTGAGCAAATGCTTAATAAACAGCAAAACAAGCGTATTTTAAGCAGGTAACATCATGCATTCCGGCTAAATCACATGCGAAATGGATTTATGTTTGCGCGTAAAATGAATGCATTGCACTGCAATGCAATGCAAATATCAACATAAATATGAAAATAAACATACATTTCCATCTTAAATCACATCAGAATTCAAATCAATTATACATGACAGCATGCAGGCATGAGCAGGTACTGAAAAACACCGTGATGTGACGCGCGTTTACGCGCAGATTATAATGAAAGCAAAGCGCGCATCGCGCCTGACACCCAACAGCTGACGCAGAAGACCATTTAAACTTTCCAAAGCAACACCCACTCACCTTTACCTTCATCGTGGTGGAAGGGCAGCTTCATGGGGTTCTCCAGCAGGGATTTCAGGACGCCGTGGGTCGGAGGTAGAAAAGTTGGGTTTATAGAAAGAGGTCGAGACATCTTCTCCAACGCGTAAAGTAGAGATCAGTCTACCTGAAGAAACGAAATTTAAAAAGCCAACTTATTCAAATAAAAGCTCTGCAGTGGGGTGTCGGAATACAGTCCTCAGCCCGTGCGCAGCACTGAAGAGCGGCGGCTGCGTCCGTGATCTCGGCTGGCTGGAGCGCAAAAGCGCAATTGATTCGCAATTCCATGTGCGAAGACTGACGTCCGTGACATCAATGGACAGGCCAAACTGTTGAATAGAGCCCCGACCAATGAGAGCGCGGGGGCGTGTTCTTCCATCATGGCTTGATACATTGTTGCACGTTCTCGATTTCATTCTTTTTGCGTTTCAAGATTATTACATTGTAACCACTGCAATGTATTTACCCTGGGCTGTTTTTAATATCAGTAAAAAATGTGAGAGGAAGTACATATGAAAATAATAGAATGATTTAATATCATTAACTATTCTATTTATTCTTGATGCATAATTACTACCTCAAAATCGATTCAATTAATATTGAATATTGAAACACTAAACAGTACAACATTGCTATTTTAGTATTATTTTTATGCAATTATAGTTTATACTTATAGTAATATTGTAATGAGCTTTTATTTATATATTTTCATTTTTAATGTTTAGCAATTTTGTTATGGACTTTATTATTATTATTTTTAATAATTAGGTCCAATTATTTTTTTATTTATATATTTTGTTTTAGTTCATTTTAGATTTGATTTATTTCCATTTAGTCATTTTAGTGCTTTGACTGAAACTTATTTCAGTTTATCATGGTGGCATTTCTATTTTTTATATTAATTTTGCATTTAGTAATATTAATATTTAATATAATAATATGTATCTAGTTTTATTTCAATCAACAACCATGCTTTTAGTTTTAGTTAACAATAACAAAACTGTTCCAAACCTAGTGATCTGGAACTCTCTACATAGGCAGACAGACAGACAGACAGAAGAAGAAAAAAAGAAAAATCAGGAATAAAGTTGAACTGAATGCATTGTTTTATTTTTATTTTTTATTAAGACCTCCCGCATTCTGACGTTCCTAAACACAAAATCATCTTCTTGGAATGGCCAATGCTCCCTGACTACACAGTAACAGCCAGTGTTAGTAACCAGCAGTCACCAGAAAGAGAACACGCATGCATGTGATTGGTGGAGAGTTGCGTGCGCGGAACGGAACATCCAATCCCGGCGAAGCTGCTGCGCAATGCGCTGAATTTAGGATAATCTGTGCAGCGTTCAGCCCTCGGCTGGAACTGACCTACTTTTGTCCAATAGCAGCAGCCAGTCGGTTATTCCGGTAGGATCAGTACGGGCCACGGCACATTGAATGTCATGTGTTCGCGATCTCTGTAGAGTGTGTGAAAGCAGCTCCAGCTCTGACTTCACGTCTGCACATTTACATTGATGACCACAACATCAGTGCTCTTGTGGAAATCAGCTTTCATCTACTATTGATTCCCTAGTTATAAAGGTACAATTATACAGTCGAATGTGAGCGCTTTGAAATAAGTTAGATATCTACTGTCATGCAAGTCCAAAAAAATGCACCAGCGGCTGCTAGGTGAGCGCGTGAGACGGAGCGTGCGACAGAGTGCGCATGTGTCATGCTTAGTAAAGGCGGTTGCCACAGCAAAGGACTGTTGTGACGACGCGTGCACAAAAGCAGGACACACATACTCGCACACACACAACGAGAGAAAGATCATCAGCAGCAGCAGCAGCAGCTGTGAAATCTCACTGTATGCACTGAAAGACTCACTAACAAGCAACACAAACACTGACACTGCAGATACAACAGGAGGATAAAACTATCTATCTATCTATCTGGTCTATCTGTCGTCCGTCCGTCCTTCCGTCCATCCATCCATCCATCGTCTGTCTGTCTGTCTGTCTATCTATCTATCGTCCATCCATCCATCCATCCGTCTGTCTGTCTGTCTATCTATCGTCTATCTATCATCCATCGTCTGTCTTTCTGTCTGTCTATCTATCTATCTATCGTCCATCCATCCATCCATCCGTCTGTCTGTCTGTCTGTCTATCTATCTATCGTCTATCTATCATCCATCGGCTGTCTTTCTGTCTGTCTGTCTGTCTGTCTATCTATCATCTATCTATCGTCTGTCTGTCTGTCTGTCTATCTATCATCTATCTATCGTCTGTCTGTCTATCTATCTATCTATCTATCTATCTATCTATCTATCTATCTATATCGGATTGTCCCATGTGAGGTCTTGGTAAATTCTATTCTATTCTATTCTATTCTAACATCAAATTGATTGGATCGCTTGCACAGATTTAATGATGATGCTCGTGGAGTAACAGAGGCACAGATGGTCGATTTCATCTGTTCCCTGTCCTGAGAGATAAAATACGATGTGGAGGAAACGCATTCGCTGCTGAGACTGCAGTTTCAGTGACGTGTCACCTGCATTCCCTCCTGTCTCAGAGAGTATAGCCTACGATATGACAGATTTCACAATTAAAGAGATGTGCCAGTCTGATAGGAGTCCAATGAAATACAGTTGCCTAGAAATGAAGGCTAGGGTTTTATCAGTACCAACGTCTAAATATAGCGAGATGCACCGACGGGCATCTGTACCAAGTTAACGGATGCTTGTTAGGATGCGGTGTTGTGTTGGGCCCACTCACTCCACCCACAGGTACACAACCCTCACGCTGGAGCGAAAGACCCGCAGTCACGGCTCCTGTCCTCTTCGCTTTCCTTTCACCCGTCACATCCTGCAGCAGCTACTGTATTCATCCTAAAGGCCTGCGTGAATCACAGAGGGGGAAAATGGTAAAAATAGACAAATCTAGTGGGAGTTATGTGAATTCATTCAAGCTGTGGGCTCTTTGCAGCACATACCACTGATAATAAAAGGATTATTGGCCAAATACATGAATGTAACAAACCATAACTGCAGCAATATATGCCTGTGTTTTTCTTAGTTGCTAAAATTTCATAATTTAGATTTTTAGAAAGAAATTAGTACTTTTTTTTTTTTTTTAGCAAGGATGCATTCACATGATCAGAAGGGACAGTAAAGAATGTTATAATGTTACAAAGGTTTTCAAATGTATCACAGTTTTGGAAAAAAAAATATGAAGCAGGTCAACTGTTCTCAACATTGATAATAAAAATAAATTTTTATTGAGCAGCAAATCAGCATTTAGAATGATTTCTGAAGGATCATGTGACACTAAAGACTGGAGTAATTATGCTGAAATAGATTTGATCAAAGAAATAAATGACATTTTACAATATATTCACATAGAGAACAGTTATTTTAAATTGTAATAATATTTCACATTTTTACTGTAAAATTTTGTAAAACATTTTTGATCAAATAAATGCAGCCTTAGTGAACAAAAGAGACTTAAAAAAACAAATAAAAAAAACATTAAAAAATCTCACCAACCCCAAACTTTCAAGAAATATA